TTGGATATTAGGAAAAATTTCTTCACTGAAAGAGTGGTTAAACCTTGGAACAGGCTGCCCAAGGAAGTGGTGGAGTCCCCATCCCTGGAAGTATTTAAAAGACGGGTAGATGTGGTGCTTAGGGACATGGTTTAGTGGGCATGGTGGTGTTGGGTTGACAGTTGGACTCGATGATCTTAGAGGTCTCTTCCAACCTTAATGATTCTATGATTCTATGATTCTATGATTTTTGAGTGTGTTGGCTCTCCAGCAGACAGCAGAGTGAATAGCATTTGCGTTTTGAAGGACTGGAATTAAGAAATCCCGAAAAAATAGTAGTTTTCTTCTATTGCACTTATGTATGAAGCCCCCCAGTTCAGAAAGAAGGTCTTTTTAAGGAAAGCAATTCAGGATATGTTGAAATCTCACCAAGTTAATGTTAAAGACACGTGCATTGGCCTGAATTTAAGATCACAGAAACATGGTAATGTTTGTTGGAAGAGAATTCTGTTGGTTTTTAGTCCAACCTCCCACTCAAAAGTAGGATTGTCACCAACATCAGATTGGGTTTTGTGTAGCTGAATCTTGAAAAACACTGAGGATGGAGACTCCCCAGTCTGCCCGGGTAACCTAGTCCGGTACTACACTAGCTTCCTACCGATTTTTTTTTTTCTCCCCTAACGTCCAGCCTGTGTCTCCCGAGCCACAATTTGTGGCCATCGCACCTTGTTTCTACCTTCTGGCACTGTTGACAGGAGTTTGGTTCTGGCGCTTTGTAACTGTCCTTCACATCGTTGTGGGCAGCTCTTAGGTCAGCCTTTGGCCCCCTCTCCTTCAGGCTAACAAGCCCAGCTCCACCAGCCTCTCGCTGCAGGTCAGGTGCTCTGGGCCCCTGACCACTTTGGTAGCTCCTCACTGGGTCCTCTCCGGTGTCTCTACGTCCTTCTTGAGCTGCGGGAGGGCCCTGCACCTCTTGCAGTAAAGCTGAATGCAGCCTCCAGGTCTTACTGAGTAGAAGGGGATAACAGTTTCCCTCATCCTAATGTAGCCCAGTATGTGGTTTGCCTTACTCAAGATGAGAGCACGCTGCTGGCTCATGTTCAGCCTGGCATCTGCTGTAATCCCCAGGTCCTTTCCAGCAGGGCTGCTCCTCACCCAGCAGCTTCCCAGCCTTTACCAGGGCAGGGGATTTTCCTGGCCCACATGCAGGAGCTGGCACTTTTCCCTGCTGTACCTCAGGGGTTTCTGCTGGCCCAAAGGTTACTCACGTCCCTCTGGGCTGAGGCTCTGCTGCTCTTTGCATCAGCCACTCTGCCAGGCCACCACTAAATGTGTCTAATCGTCTGCTCCCTCTCGCTGGACCATGTCTATTCTCAAACACGACACTTATTCCGCTCATAGGTAGCAGTCCCCCCCCAGGGCCACCTTTGACCCTTTCTCAAGGCTATTGAGGCATTATGTATTAATGCAATATGTGCTTTAGTCAGACCGGTCACTCAATAATGAGGTGAACAAGCAGGAATATCCAACTCACAGCAATATTACCTTATCACTTAACAGTGGACGCAGTGATTAAGTAAAATGTTCTGAGTTTCTGGTTCATATAATTAGTATTTAAAAAAAAAAATCAACCTTATTATGGATGGATTGGAGTATTTACACCCACAGTCCTGTGTTGGGATGTGTGGGCTGTGCTCCTTGACACCATTTCCATTCCTTCTGTACCTTCAGGTCTCTTAGCTCTAATGGTGTGGAGGAGGTCATGTTCCCACTGCCCTAGTTCTAACTCTTGGCTGTTCCTCTGCTGTGCAACTGAGTGTATAGGATGAAGGTTTCCAGGAATGTGACCCTTTTGTCCAGGTAAACAAATCTCTCTTCTTCTGCAATTTAGAAATTTCTTAAAATTTTTATAGCTCTTTCTAAGTGTTAATTGTTTTAGTGCTCGGACCTATTTCTTGGAGGTGGCAATGCAGTCGCCCTAAGGGAAGAACCATGCAGAGGTAGCAGTGTGTTTACTTCCACTTCTCTAAGGATTGCATCACAGAGAAATACAGTTCTCAACAGTGATGGTGCAACGTTTCATCTTTTGGTAACGCTTGGATAA